CTGCTAAATCTGGCAATCATATTTCTTTCAGTATAGTGATAGAATTTTTTTTTTTCTCCACTGCCTCATTCAATACATCTGCCATGGAATAAACTCCTATTTTATCTTATTCTTTTATTTTTACACAAATTGATAAATTACCTCTTCCATTTTTCCTCAGACCTCATAGAGTGTAGCCAAGTTTATAATGTCAGTTTGTAATGTTGAAATTTACAACTGCTTAATACTTTTTCTGCGTACAATGACTAACTGGATAAGAATGGAAACACAGGGCCTACCTGGTGGCGCAAGGGGTTAAGACACAACCTATGAAATTATCTGCAGCCACTGTACCATGAGTTTGATCCCTGGCCAGGGAGCTACCGACATAGCACAGTAGACCTCTCCTGTTGCACCCACTGCTCCCCTCAGCAGTGTATTTCAGTAGATCTGCCTATTCTGTTCCCCAATCTGTGTCTGGTGAATCCTCTCACCCCCTGTATCTCTGGCCTGCACCCTAGTTCTTGTATGCATAAATCAAAAAATCTTTTAGAAAAACGAATGGAGGGTCTCCCTTGTGGCACAGTTGGTTGAGTGCAGCACTGTGACTGTCCACAGCCTCTGCATCACTGGTTCAATTCCCAGCCAGCCAGGGAGATACCACGTGATGGGGCAGACCTCTCCTGTCTCGCCTGCTGCTCCCTTCAGCAGTGTACTTCGATCCTTCTGCCTGTTCTGCTTCCCGCTCTGTCTCTGGTGAATCCTCTCACCCTCCTGCACCTCTGGCCTGTAACCCAGTTCTTGTATAAAAATAAATAAATATTTTAAAAAAAGAATGGAAACACATTTTTTTTTTAGCATCAGATGAAATATTGAACATAACAGATTCGACATTCCTACAAAATTTCCATATAGACAACTTAACTGACCACAAACTTAACATCTTTTTATGCCTTAATCTAATTTTCTGGCAGATTTAATGTCTTTATACAACACTTATCTTTATATACTGTTGGAATTATACCATTTTTTTTTTTAAAGCAATCTTGGGGTTTCTCATTCCCTATTACATTTCATCTTGCTAGATTTGGTCTATTATTCCAATGCATTAAGAAAAAGTGGATATTAGGTTATCATTTGTTGTATTAACTAACATTACTAGTTTTGTGCTCTCTCTCTCCCTATTCATCTACCCATCAACATACTAAATATTTATTATTACAGACAGAAAGCTAAAGATCATTTTAAAATCTATAGAAAAAAATACCATGCTAGAGAGATGTCATAATACACAATGTCTGCAGCATTTGTATGGTTTGAAATGATAGGTTATGAATGACAAAAAAATGAAATAGTTAGATTGTCCTTTAATCATATGACTATGTTAATAGCAGTGATCACTCATTGTATTTACAAGCTCTCACATCATTTTTCTATATTCTTAGTCAGCTGTAACAGCAGGTAGAGGAAGTATTTATCTCTCTGGATGATGTCACAGATGTTGAATGCATCCTACTAAAAACATATTTCCCCATACTTTTTTTTTAAAATTTATTTATTTATACAAGAACCAGAGTACAGGCCAGATGCGTGGTAGGGTGAGAGGATTCACCCGAGAGAGAGCAGGCAGCACAACAGTCGACTAAAAACACTGCTGAGGGGAGCAGCGGGAGAGACAGGAGAGGTCTGCCGCAACATGTGATTGCTCCGTGGCCGGCGGGGATTGAACCGGCACTGCAGAGGCTGCAGCCAGCTTCACAGCACTGCACTCAACCTCCTGTGCCACAAGGGAGGCCCCAGAATACACACATACTTTAGCCTTAGCATATCAAAACACTCATAGCGAAAACATACCTTCTTATCAGTAAACATATATATCTTTTTTCATTGTTGCTTTGGTGAAAGAGTAAGGACAAATGCTTTGAGGAAAAATTAAGAGATGAAGAAAAGAGAAGACCAGAGAAAAAGTCAGGGTGTTAGTACTATTTTCTAGCTTTTGGTTTTCATTTATCCACCTATCCCTACAGACTCATTCCATGCCAGACTTGCTGGAATCATCTAACTTGAGATGGTAATTTATCAAGCAACTTGACCTTTCTTTTTTTCACATCAGTTAGGTGTTGATCAGAGCCGAACACCGATGGTGCTTCTCGATTCATAACAGGACACATGAACAAAATGTTCAAAGATTACATTATCTTTTCTCCAATCACTTCCTACCCCCATTCTGTGTACCCCATTTTTCCCACTTTCTTGCAATCTGCTCAGTCTTCTATCAGGCGGGATGCTTATTTTTACATGACAACCTGAAAGACCGCCTGGGTGCTTAGATATCTAGTCAAATATTCTGGGTGTGTCTTTGGGTGTTTTGGATGAGAGTAACACATGAAGTGGTTGAGTAAAACAAATCACCCTGCTTAATACAGATGGATGTAATGCAATTGATTGAAACACAAACTAAACAAAAATGAAACTCTTCATTTCTGCTTGGAGTTGAGCACGAACATTATTTTTTCCTACTTTCAGATTGATTTTCAAAGGAAAACATCATAAGCTTTCCCTGGGCATTAATGCTGCTGGTCTTGGAGTGGACACGTGCCATTAGCCCGCCTGGCCATCAGGTCTTAGATTCCTAGAGGAACTACATCGTTACACTCCTTGGTCTCTAACTTACTGACTACCGATCTCAAGACACCTCAGTCTCCATAAGCTCCTGAGCAAATTCCTTAGGATAAATCTCCCTTTTGCCTTCCTCCATCTTATTGGCACTGTTGCTCTGGAGAACCCTGACTAATAGAGCTGGAAGCATCTACCTAAAGTGCTCCAGAACTAAGCTCTGTTTGACCTAAGTTCTACTAAATGCCTATTTCCTATCTTCTCAGAGACCTGAGTAGCATAGACATAGGTTGCTTGTATTCCTCACTGTCCATGATTTGAGTAACATTATTCCTTAAATTCATATCTTTGTGGACCAGTACTCACCCTGACTCAGGTTTCAGGTGGCCACATGCATGATGTCCTCTATTAGCATAACTACTGACCATCTCTAGCACTGCTCTTTCTGCTGTGTCTACCCAGGTCTCTTTCCTTAACTCAGGTGTGCTAATTCCACCATTGGTTCACAATGATAAAGTAAGTAGAGTTTGTGATTAGATACCAGAAGACTACTAAAATTCCTCTGTCTACTATTCCATTTCTCTTGCAATTAAAAGTAATTATAATAAAGTAAATATCAAAACCAACAGGCAACTACAAATCAGAGACATTCTTCAAGGGGAGGAGAAGGGAGTAGGATCAAAATAGGGGTGGGAAGAGCACAAGGGACGATGGTGATGGTGCATGGGTAAATTGGTGTTGGGAATTTCATGGGGACTATAACATAGGAGAAAGCATACATTGTACAAAAATGAAGAATGATGTGTGTATATATATATATTATATATATTATATATATAATATATATAATATATATATGCATGACAATGAGAGACATTTAAAGGTGAGGTTTATAATAGTTAATGGTGTTTTGATATTTCATAAGTACTACAGATAGAAATACTTGGTAATAAATAGTCTTCTATCTTTAAGGAATCTATGATAAGTCTCAGAATGCTGCTTTATGAGGGGTATTGAATTAAAAAGAATTGAAAAACAGAACTATAAACCCATCTCATTACTGATGAGGAGGCTGACAGGCATGTAGGTAGTAAACAACTAAAGTAACTGACCTGGGGGAAGAGATTTAGGGGAAGTCACTGTTGGTATCTGGATGTGCTTATTCACTCCCCCAAAGAGGTTACTGGAGCAGACTGTCTAGTTTAACAAGAAATAGTTTCTTGAGAAAGATCTTAGAGCATCTAAGTTGGTATCCAGTTTAGTGACAACTCAACGCTACAGACCTTTACATTGTCTTTGTTCTCAATACACATACCATCTGAAGAGAAGTTTGTTTTTTTTTTTTTTTTTGATTACTCATGCTTAGACAAAGCATGTTGACTGCTAGTTCTTTACCTTTCCAATCCAAAGTCCAAATTTTCATTTTTGCACAATGTAGATTTTGATAGAATTTCTTCAGGAATTCAAAACACTGCAGCATATATAAATTATCAAATAATTCATTTTAAATTCACTTGGAGCTTTACCATAGACAACTTAATTATGGTTTTGTTCAAAGCTTAATGCTTCTCTGAGTATGAAAATGTACTACATTAAGGTAGGTGGACATAGCATATGAAACATGATTTCATGATTTTGTGGGCACTGAATAAGAGGATATGCTTCTCTAAGACCTCAGAAATGGAATCTTTATGGGAGAAAATTCAGAAAGCTGAACCAGTCCCAAGATTACCTCCTGAAAATACATTCCCACCCTCTGGACTTTTATTTATTTATTTTTGATTTTTTAATATTTTTTTCTTACTTGTTTAGACATAAACAGGCATTAAAATTGCATGGCTTTGAAAGATGAAAGGACAGAATTAAAGAAAAATGATCAAATTTTCTATTTTTAATTCCAAGTAAAACTAGTAGAGATTTTAAAAATAGGCCTCAGATGATCTTACTACACAAAGGTAATATATAGCTATATATTTTCATTTTTTATAGCTATATATTTTCAATGCAGTTATGTGCTGTGAGCATATTGAGACTGAGTTTGCCTACTGATACCCTGAGCCAAGAGCAGACTCAATTTATGGACAACATATGCACCTCTGATGATACTGTGAATGCTAATTTTTTGGCTCAACAACTGCTTATTAATATGTCTTTACTAAACTTCAAGGAGAGATGCCAACATCGAGATGTTGTATTGAATTTAACTGTTAAATCCAACACATGCTGAACAAATCTGTGTTTTCGTTGATTAAAGATCATGAGGAAACTGTATAACTTGGAGTCCAGTCTATTTTCTCTTTTGTAAAACTAGTATTCACCCGCCATTCTTATCAGTGTTGACAATAGAACAAATGAAACATAGATTTGAAAATTCTGACTTTAAAAGGCATAAGTAAAATACGTACTGGATTTAGAAGGATTGTGAGGAAAAGTTCACCTCCTCGGATACTTTTATCCAGTTCTTGGGGTCCACCAGGATACTCTTTGTAGAAAATAGTGTGGGTGAATAACCCACAGGTCTGTCGAGGGAGGACCTGGGAAGGGGCAGGAAAGTAACTTAATATTGAGTTTCATCACATTCCTGTAAATGATCATTTCCTATTGGAGTTTCTTGGTTGCTAGAGTCATCAGATCTTATTGTAGTCACTGACTGCATTGCTGTAATTATGTAGATGCACAGGGAGTCATCAACTCAAAAGTATAGCACCTACAGGCTAGAACATTTTCACTCTGTTCTGCAAATCTCACACAATGGCTGATTTGCATGAAAGGATTGGCGAAAAAATAAAAGCCTTCATAAGGTTAATTCAATTCAAAAATAGAGATTCTCCAGGTTGCATTTCTCATGATATTAGGCCATTATAGCCCTCGCTTCTGAAATACAGTCTTACATGGCACTCAGTTCCTGAGATTCAAAACAATCAGTTTTCATCACTCCCTTTGTTTTGTTTTTACTACACTCTGAATTTAAAATTTAATCACAGTAGTAGTCAAATCATCTAATGATTGCTTCTGGCACATTGTGTAGTTAATTCTGTTATAAATCTAAATGTTCAGCAGAGAAGGCAAATAAGTAATTTTATTCCCAAAACTTATTTTGAATAACAAATTACTTAAAATCTAATGGAAAAGTACATCTAGTTGTGCAGCAAAACTATAATTTTATTTATTCTTTTCTTAATTTTTAAAATAGCTTGTATTAGATTCAAGGTAAATGAATGCATGTAATATTGGCTGAAAGGACTGTTTTTATTTCATGATGTGCTGAATGCTCATGTAACCCAATAAAGGGGAAATCTCTTACTCTGATTAGAAATTATATGAGAACCATCCTTTGTGTGGCTCCTGAATTTCTATGGATGTCAAAGCCACTATTTGAATTATCAGTGGCTCCATTTAAATCTGAGACTTCTTTATATTTTCCAATACCAATATACAATAAAATAATTACAGTTTTATAATTAATGAACTTTGAATACTAGCTCAGGAAACACAAGTGTGCTAGTGTTTTTTCTTTGACTTTAGGTAGTCAAGGATAGCTGAATAGGTAAATATATAGATGATAGGTAGACAGAGAGGTGATTGATAGATTACTCTGATAGAAAACTGAATAATGGACTGAGAAAACAGAAGTATTTAAAGGAGAGAGCACAGTTGTAAACCCTGGTTATGTTGCAGGCAACTGATGATGCAAATATAACTTAAGGCACTGTAAGAAGGAATGGTCATTTTGAGATGGGCTCTTTTATTGCAAAGTGAATAATATAATTTTTACATTTCAATGAATTATTATAAATTCCCATCTAAAATTCATTTGCTTTTACTCTCATTTATAGCAACTGATTAACCACTCCTTTGAATTATTATTTTTTTACTTAATGCATGTTTTTGTGGTATGCAAGGAAAACAAAGATGAATAAGAATAGTAGTCTAAGATATTCTTGAGTGTCTGAAAGTTAAACTAATTGGATAAACAGCTCTCATATGGTATTGAGTCTTTTGATAATGTAGTGATTTTAGAGGTATTTTATTGCTCTACAGACCCCTCCTTTGCCTTAAAACTCTCAATGAAACCATCCAAACAAATACAGAGACACTCTCCACAGGTCTAGTGTACCAAGACAGACCATCAATCCAGAAACTGCATGGATGGTCTCTATGTAACTCATTTCCAAAACTTGAACTTTTTCTTGGGTTTGCCAAAACCACCCCACCATTTATGAAGCAAGCCAATAATTAAACAATGTGTTGATGTATGACCAGTAACCTCACACAAGTTCAGAAATCATAAATCATGATACTCATGGAATGCAGCTTCAGCTTACAACCTGTCTTCACACATAGATATAAAAATACTTCAGTACCCATGGTAGTCTCTGCTCACCATGATGCTATTGTGAATGAAGCCCTTTCGGTACCGTGCAGGTTTCAAATGTGGATATTCTTCAGTGCTGGTGACCTGAATACCCCAGACTTTCCTCCAAGCTGCATACAGTTGAATGTGAACTGGGTAGACGCCCGAGTGATGGGGTGCCACTGCATAGCCCATGTTGATAGGTATTCCATGATCCTAAAAGAGACCAAAACAACACAATACAGAGTGTGGTAAACTGAATTCACCTGAAACTGCTCCCCAAACACTGCCTTACAATGTATTGATTCTGCACCAAGTATGAGAAATATGAAATCTCACATAATAGGGTGCTTATGTTTTAGCTGCTCATCATAGTCTCTCTTTCTGATGGTATGGGAGACACAGTCAAATGCTGTGGGCATGTGGTACGCAGATCAGATTGATTTTGAATTTTGACTACAAAAATTTTGGGGGTAAGAAGAGAAGAGACCATTACCCTTCCTAATATATCTATATCTATCTATATGTATCTAGCTAGATAGCTACCTAATATATCTATATCTATCTATATGTATCTAGCTAGATAGCTAGATAGACATATATATATATATATATATATATATATATATATATATAGATGGATGAGAAAGAGAGAGAGAGGGACAACTAAAAAAGAGTCACTTGAAGAGAAAGATGGGAGAGCATGATGAGTGGGTGTGTGTGTGCATGCACATGTGCACACATACATGTTAAAGGAACCAGAAAAGGAAGTATGAATGATAAAATGATGGGCTTTTCCTGCCAGCTAAGTGATTTGGAATTAATTCTATTTGCATAATGTAGGCATCAAAGCTCTCTGAGTATAGAGAGTGATACTATGCTCTGTGCGTCTAGTGATAAGTCAAGATGGACTGGAAGTAGAAAGGGGATGAATCAAGGCTGTACATTAGGAAGCCACTGCAGTGATACAAATTAAAGAAACAGGGTTACCTAAGGAGATGAATGTGGTCAGATTAAAAGTCAGGGGACAAATCTCTGTATGATTCAGTGATGTTTTGGAAACAGAGGGAAAAGGAAAAGTAATGATTAAGATTCTCTCCTTTGCTTTGAGCCTAAACAACTCAATTTATTTGTAAAATATATACTTCACTTTGAACTCCTTGCTTTGGGTAAACAGTCAACTCTAAAGGGAAGTATATAAATTTAAGACAAGGATATAAAAAATGGTATTATATAGTGAGGAACTTTATATATAGATCTGCAGTTTTCTTTAGATTTCTCCCTCTAATGTTTATCTGCTTTTCAAAGACTATTTTTAGAATTGAATCTCATCAATTGAGCTGATAAATGACAATATATGGTCATATCTGAAAGCTGACTGAATCAATAAACAGAACATACATATGTTGACAATTGCCATTTCTATTTTCTATTACATGGTATATAGCATAGGAAAATAATTCAGTCTGGCATAATAAGAAAACAGCAAGTGGGTCACATCTACAATGCCAAAGTCATAAGCCACACTCAGTTCAGAAGAAAGACCCAAAATACTTGACAAGTCTCCATCTGTCTTTCTCTCATGGAATGACTGTCATTGTATAGCCAAATTCCCCTCTCTTTCAATAAGACCATGTGTTTTCCAACATCTATTACAATAAATGACTCTGTAGAAAGACTGAATTATGAAATCAATGCCATAAAATGAGCTGGAGTCTTTTGCTAGGCACTGGGGAAAATGCATTTCTTGATATGTGTCGAAGAAAAATACTTCTTTCAGGAGCTTGCATTTTCATTACAAGGCGAGGTTGAAAAAGTCAGTAACAAAATTACTTGGAAGATACCAATGGGGGAAGGAAATTCATCTCACCCTGATATATCACTGGAGAATAAGTCCTATAAAAGCCTTAGTTCTATCTGGTTAGTTCCATGTTGCCCAGTGAATCATCAGAGAGCTTCTTGAGGATGAGGGTCATCCTGGGGCCAAGGGCTGATGCCTTGTATATGAAATGTAGATGGACTTTCTCAAGAGAGAGATCTTGGTGTCCAAATTCTGTCTGGTAAACAGAATTTATGTGACTGTTGCTTAGAAAAGTCCTCTGGATTTACAAGAGAAGGGGAAAAATGTGTTATGCTCTTATTACTCTTTCAAACAATTCCTATTGAGATTTGTAAGGGTTTTGTCTCACAGTATTAATAATGACACGTCATCAATGTCTGAATCCTACCAGTCTTCATTAATAACTCTGTTAGTGTAATTTCATTCCAAATTTGGGGTCAAGAATCCTAGATGAGTATGTGAATGTTTAGAAACAAAGAGATAAAATTGTGAAAAGAACTGAAATACCAAACAATAGTACCTCTTCAGGAAAAGAAAAAAAAAAAGACATTTCACTTTTGACAGGTAGTAAAATAAATTGTAGAACTTTCATGAAAAACCAGGAGGTAAAAAGCAATTGATTTGGTGAGCAGGAAGGAAGGGGCAGTAAAAGGATTTTATTATATTTATTGATTTCTGGGGGCTCAATGTTATACTGCTCATAAGGTCATCTTATCACACTGACAACCAGAACTCAATCAAAATAGTAAATCACACTGGATAATTATGAGTTTATACTTTTTCAACCTAAATGATATCATAAAATGAAAAATAATTCCCTAGTAACTCTTTTTCTGTTATCAAGGGGCCTTCTGAACTAAAAATCTTCATTCTTTACTGTCCAGAATTTAAAACCCTCTTCACTGAGACTTGGTCGACTATCATATGAGCTAACCTACTTACAAACAATCACAAAAATTACAAAATGTGAAAGATAGTTCTAATATGAATATAGGAAGCAGTTAAAACTATAAATTAGACATAAAAGACAGAATAAGCTAAATAAGGAAATATAAGGAAAGCCAAATATGTTTTTTTAATTGAAGCAATGTCTCTCACAGGACCCAGATTTTCTATGATATTATGACATTGTCACTACAAATAATTACAGGAGAACTTGATCTAAATTTCCCAGTTACATTAAATTCCCATTTTATTGGGAAATTAGATCATGTGATAATTAACCAACTATATTAAAGTCACTATTTTCAAAAAAATGCAATAATATAAACTATATCTAGCATTAAAGTACTAACAGAACCAGCTTGATTTCATTGAGTGTTTCTTTGATCATTCCTATTTATCATATCTGCTTGCAATTGCTTACTACCTGGTATTTATTAACATTATCCTCATAAACATTATCCTTATAATGTCATGGCCTGGATGTTATTGTCAAATGTGGAACTGAGGCTCAGAGAAGACCAACGACTTGACAATGTTCACAAATGGCAGGGCTAGAATCATACCTCAATTCCTCTAAATTCACAGTTTGCTTTTGCTATTCCCTCCCAGTTAATGACTAGAAACACTTGATGGACAACAGAAAACTGGTTTTAATATATACTTCTTAAATGAACTCATATTTACTCTATTTTTGTTTGGGAAGGTTATACATAAAAATTTTACATTTCTCAATCTCCTCTCTAGCTATCATTTCTGATGCAAACAAGGTCCAGCCAATAAGAAGTACTCAGAATAGATGAGCAGGTGCTCAAATCTTGCAAATCTTGGCTTCCGTTGTTGATATATAAGATTGTGAAAAAAGAGGCTTTTTTGAAGAAGTACTTGGGGCCCATTTTCAGGGAAGCAGGTGAAGCTTATTGCTTCTGCCAGAGTTGCAGTGGCCAACTCGGAAGCGGTCACTCCCTGAGGAAACTAAGTCTGTCTGGCTCTGTGAGTCCCTAGGGGAGGAATATAACCTAGAATTTGCTCATCAGTCTTTCTAAAGTTTTTGGAAGCCTTAAATTGCTGAATAAAAATTCTCCCTATTTAAAATAACTCCAAGTGGCTTCTGTTTCTAGCATGGAACCCTGACTGATATCCATGTTCCTTTTCCCTTCCTAATAAATATAAAATTTATAAGAGGTTCAGGTGAGATATCAGTGGCTTGAATTCCAGGGAAAGACAAAGAGAAGAAGAGTTTGCTAAAAACTGTCCGATATTTCTCCAAGAAAACTCACTCATGCATGGCAAAACAGCAAACACACCTATTTGTCAACCTGGATAATATCAAGTTCTATGATTACTAAATTTTATGACTGAGCAGCCAATATCTAGTGTACAGAGAAAATAAATAGGAGACAAGTCTTTAAATAATAAACATCAAACATACATGAAAACAATTCAGTACAACTACAGTGAGATAATTATTACTGAATTCATGGCAATGTCAAGTACTATGCATAGATACAGGGGGTTTAAGACACGTTTTTTAAGATTTATTTATTTTTACATACAAGAACTGGGGTACAGGCCAGATGCCAGATGCGTGGGAGGGTGAGAAGATTCACCAGAGACAGAGTGGGGAACAAAACAGGTAGATTGACTGAAATACACTGCTGAGTGGAGCAGCGGCCAGGACAGGAGGGGTCTGCCGTGCCATGTGGGTATCTCCCTGGCCGCCAGGATTGAACCCGCACTGCAGAGGCTGCAGATTGCCTCAAAGCACTGTGCTCTACCACCTGCGCCACCAGGAGAGATCCAAGACATGTTTTTAAATATTTTTAAAAGCAATGATACATTTAAAATATTATTAAATAAAAAATCATGGATCTCTAAGAAATGAATACAAGGGAAAGGAAATGAAATTATCACTGCAAGTAAATGTACTGGAGGTAAAAAGCTAATGCATTAAACAGTACCCTATTGAACTTAAAGTATTGATTTGCCCTTTTAAATACACAACTTCTAGGGAGTGACACTGGTGCTAAAGAAAATAGATCTCATTATCTGTTTTTGCTTTTATTAGGAGCTTGGAATCATATTGTCAACTTTGAGAATGATCTTAGGATCATCGATTTTCTACTGTGTTTTGGGGACTGAAATTATCTCTTCTGTTTTTATAAGTGATAAAAGCAATGACTGTGTGACCCTGGAAATTGGTTGGGTCAGTCCTGGCACTTTTTGGACTGAAGTCTAGTAAATGGTGACACATCTCTGGAGAGCTCTGTGTCACAAATGGATTTTTCTTTTGAAAAGGAAATAGCACAACAATGGCATTTCTTCGATGGCGTTGAACTTTCCGATCCTAAGTAGAGCTATTTTGGGCAATTGAGACATATCCTTTTAATATTCTTGATCCTGTAGCGTGTCTACTTTACTGCTTAAAAGGAAC